GCTCTCATATTCTAGAGTCCTCTGATTTAAAATTGTTATTGTTTATCTGAGATCAAAGAGACACGCGAAGAGCTCCCATCTGCTGGTTTACTTCCCAAATGCTCACGACAGGGTGTAGGCTGAAGCGGGGAACTTGAACTCAGTCTGGATCTCCCACATGGGTGTCAGGGCAGGAAGCCAGCTGCTTTAGCCATCACCTGCAGCCCCCTAGGGTGTGCATTAGCAGGAGGCTGGCCCCAGGAGCACGGCTGGGCTTAACCCCAGGTACTGCAACATGGGCTGCAGGTGTCGCCAGCAGCCTCTGCCACTATGTACCAAACACCCGCCCCTCCCTCCAATTTTAAATGTTTGTTTGAACAAGTATATTTCTACTTCCTTCATTAACAGAATGAAATTGAGGAGAAAATATAACACTGAGGCAATTAATTTACTCTTCCCTGGGACGACTCAGTGACAGGGTGATTGAGTGTAATTTCTGACATCATCTTCCTCGTGGGGAAGCTCTTCCTTTTTAATTGCCTGAAAGAGACGGTGTGAACGTTGATTCATTCACTCCAAAGTTCTTCAGTGAAATTCTAATTAGCAGTGAGCAAGTTGCTTGTTTCTAATATTCAGATAATCCGTGATGAATGTTAGAAAGGCTTTTATCAACCTAATAATGCACAGTTGTTAGGATTGGTTTAAGCTATCATTTTTCCATTTTCTGTGCGGCAACACTGGCTTCTTAGCCCTCTCAGACTCTTATCCCAAGAACGCTGCACACTGTTCTCTGTTCTGCCTGCTTCTAAAACCGCTTCTTCCCCTTCATCATGATTTCATCAGGTAAGAGAGGTAAAAGAATCTTTATGTTTTCATTGCCAAATAGAATTGTATATATTTATGGTGTGCAACATGATGTTTTGGTGTATGTATCCATTATAGAACTGTTTAATATATGCATATTCTCACATTCTTAGATTTTGTGTGATGAGATACTTGAAATATCTCCTTGTAGTTTTCTTACATTGTACCCAAATATTTCACTGGCTTCTCATCACTATCACTCAGTTTAAGCCTGCGCCATGACATTTGAAGTCATCTTTGGGGGACATGTGCCTACTGCTTCTTGGCATCATCACCCCCTGCCAGCTGCAGCACCCTGGCTTTCCTTTGGAAAATGATTGCCCGGCCAGCACCGCGGCTCAGTAGGCTAATCCTCCACCTAGCGGCGCCAGCGCACCGGGTTCTAGTCCCGGTCAGGGCGCCGGATTCTGTCCCGGTTGCCCCTCTTCCAGGCCAGCTCTCTGCTGTGGCCCAAGAGTGCAGTGGAGAATGGCCCAAGTGCTTGGGCCCTGCACCTGCATGGGAGACCAGGAGAAGCTCCTGGCTCCTGGCTTTGGATCAGCGCGGTGCGCTGGCCGCAGCGCGCCGGCCACAGCGGCCATTGGAGGGTGAACCAATGGCAAAAGGAAGACCTTTCTCTCTGTCTCTCTCTCTCTCACTGTCCACTCTGCCTGTCAAAAATAAAAAAAAATTTAAAAAAAAGAAAAGAAAATGATTGCCCCCATCCCTCTATGGTGTGAGCAGTACTGCATGGACACAGTACACAGTACACAGCGCTGCATGGACCCTTCTTCTGTCCATGGTGATAAGGTTGGGGTGGACACATTGTCCGACAGGAGTCAGTGGAAGTTCCACTAGAACCTCTGAGAAGTGGGTGATTCTATTCAGTCCCTCTTGGCCTTACACAGTGCGCAGGGAGCCACAGACGCTGCTGGAGGCATCTTCAAACCACAGCGGGAGAACCTGCTGCGAAAGGGCGCAAACAGCAAGGCAGCTGAGTCTTGGTGAAAGCGCTGGAGCCCTGGTTTCAGCCCTGGCCTGAAGCCTGTCCTCCCTTCTCTTCCACGAGCCAACAAACTGCCATTGTTGCCTAAGGCATTTTGAATTGGGTTTTCTCCCTTTTGCAATAACAAGCGAGAAGACTCATAATTCATGCAGACCCCAAGCCAACTTTGCATATATTCCCATTACTCTTCGTAAAGTCACTCCTGTTCCAATTTCACCAGACTGAAAGAGAGCACTCGGGTAGATGAGACAACGTGGCTGAAGGCCCAGAAATGCTCACCGAGATCCCGGGAGCCTAACTTGGTCATAAATAATTGGACCTGACTGTGAGGGAAAAGGCAGATTCCAGAGTGACCCCAAGCTGACAGAGTTGAGTCGCTGTAGGTCCAATGACCAGTGATGTTAACAAAAAGAAAAATGTTTGGGAAGGAAGATGAGGCTCAGTTTGGAGCCATTTGAATCTGAGAAAATAATGATGCTGAGCTACAGGAGTTGTTCCCTTCTCTTATTCGCAAGAGACTGGCCACTCCTAGAGGTCAGAGGCCATGGGGTCTTGATTTTCATTCTGTCTGCCAGAGGAAGCAGAAGGAGGGAATAAAGTGAGAGCTAAGTGATCCCAGGACAATGAGAGAACTGCAGTCTGCTCTGTGGGCCTGAGGATGCTGCGGCTCATCAAGAGAGCTCACAGGTTCTGAGGTATCTGCTGATGAGAAGGAGAGTTCTGTCGTCCACGAGGCGGTGTTGACCTGAACTTGGAACACTCAGGTGGACGAAGGGGAATAGGGTGTGGCCAGCTGGGAGATGCGGCCTGTGAAGAAGTGCTCCTATCTCTTGTCTGCCTGTGGGGTGCCATAACTGATGAAGCATTACACCATTGTTTCAGATAACTGGGGTACCCAGTGATATGACCACTAGCAGATGCCGCATTACGTGACAACAGATGACCCATCACAGTGGTCAGAGAACCAGAGGCTGCCACGGGTGTGCTTGGGGAAGTCCATCACAGATTATGGGACAAAGGGAAATGTCTTGCGTGGCGGGGTGGGGGCAGGGGCAGGGGTGGGATGGGCAGGGAAAGGGGAGAGGTTGGTGAGGACACAAAGTTACACAGAAGTCCTGGTGTTCCATTGCACATCAAGGGGACTATAATTAATAGTAATGTATTTCATATTTCAAAATTGCTAAAAGAGAGAATTTTAAATGTTCTCACAAAGCAATGATAACTACCTGGAGGAAAGGAAAATACTCATTACCCTGATTTGCTCCATCTGTTGTGGCTAGATGTATCAGAATATTCTCTGTACCCATAGATACGAACTTTTGAATTTTCTTCTAATTCCATGAACTCTTTGAAGCATGCTCAAAGATGCAATTGTTGTTCTTCTATGATAAATAAATCAAAAGTTAAAGAATAACAACAGGACTCTTAGCTGCAACTTTCAGTCCTTCGGCTAAGTGAAGAGGCCACTCCTGGGTCTCCATGGAAATCCAAGGAACAGGAAATGAGTCGCCTGATGCTCACGCTGAGCCTTCTGTCTTCTGATTACACACAGATGGAGTGGAGGAGGTGGTTTTCGCCATCCTGATCCACAAATCCAGAACATAACCGCATCGTTTTCTTGTCTCTACCGCTCAAGGAATTTTCTAGGGGAAAAGTTAAAAGAAAAAGATTTAAAGAGGAAAAGTCTAACATCCACAATGGTTGCCAAAAAAAAATTTTTTGTAGCCTTCTAAAGGAAAGTGTTGCTTCTAAGCCAGTTGTTCCATGTGCATTTTAAAAGAAAAACGATGGCACAGTCTTGAGCAGATTGCTGTGAGCCATGGAGGATGTGCAGGATAATGATCTGAAAGCCCCCCCTCCCCACCTCAGGGCTCCTTTTCAGCCTCTTCCTAAAATGCTCTCTGAGTCAGCAGCGGCTCCTCCCATCAGAGCTGTTTACACTTGCAGGCACTAAAATTCGTTGTTGGTTTTATGAATTTCTTAGCCATCTGAAAGGAAGTCCTTTGAAACATGAGGAAGCCCATTCAAGTCTTATTCAACCGGCATCAGGTGACCAGGAATGATTCCGTGTTCCTTCCTCTCTTCTAATTCTTGGAAGAGCAGGCATGCGTACTGGCTTCGTTCCGGGGCGGGGGGGTGGGGGTGGTTACAGTTCTGGGCCCTGGAGACCTGTGCAGTCAGAGGCACTCACACACGACCTTTGTACAATGTGCATCTTCTGAGTTTCGAGTGGCCAGATGCGAGTTATCCAGAAGAATGATGAGGTGATTGAGGCCTTGGGCTCTGGGAAATTGCTCATGATTTTGAACTTGAACATGAACCCCATAAGGGAAAGCAGAATCGATGGTGTGGAATCCTGGATGAGGTATCAAAAGGAACATTGTAGGATCCAAAGCAAATGAAGGCCCTAGCACAGTCCTGCATATGGCCTCTGTACACCTGGAGATGTGTGATTTTAATGAACATTTCAGGTATCTTCTCGGCAAGAGATTCCCACAGTATTTACCTAGAAGGGGACCATTTTTAAGTGACGCTCTATCAGTTTATCATAGACGTGAAGCTGGGTCATACGTTGACCACACTAGGAAGACTGCTGGGAGTGGGGCCGAGCGCTGTTTCTTAGTCACATCCTGACTAGGGACCTCCTGGCTGAAGGGTGGAAAATGACCAGTTACACTCAGCTCCACCATGTATGGTGGTCAGCTGTGCCATTTGCAGTGTCTGAGCTCCCATTACCAGGCATGCAGTGGATCCCACTGGGCTTTCCAGGTAGTCAAGGGGCCTGGGGGAGCAGGACCTCCTCTGTACCCTGGCATCCGGCAAGGAACCGAGGATGGGGGAGCTGCCCCTGCCCCCTGCAGGTGGAATGTACCAGAGGGCCCCGGTTTGGTTCCAACCTGTCATTAACAATTTGCCTGCAGATTGCGCGTGATGACAGAGCTGAGGAGGTCCCCATGGGAAGCCTGGACAGTTGTACTGGGTCCTTTCAGAGCTGACAGCCAAGAGGCACTGAAACAGGCACAGGGTAGAAAAGATCAAGCAAATCTCTAAGAGCAAAATATTGATTGAATAGGATCAGCAATTTCAATGTTAGATATCAATTAGGTTCAGGGCCCTAATGGGTAGATTCACAGCGTTAAGGTTGTAGTCATCCATCCTATGGTGGGATTTGAAAATATACAAAACAGGGCTGTGTACTAGTCAGCTTTTCATTACTTAGCTAAATACCCAAAGGACCGATTTAAGAGGGAAGGAGTTGCATTTCGACTTTGAATTTGGAAGTTCACACTCTAAGATCAGGTAGCTCCCTTGGTTTATATGTCTGGCATCCTCAGGCAAGAAAATGTTGGGGGATGGGAAGTGGCAATCACGTGGTGAATGCTGAAGCAGAGGGAGATTCAGGAAGCACACTTGACTCGCCTAACCGACCCTCCCATGAGAGCTGCCTTGTGAGGGCAAGCTCTCAGCCACCTAACCACCCCCGCCCAGCCCCACCTCTCAGGATTAGATGGGGTCTTCACTAGTAATCCACCCACCATTCACTAAGACGCTGGAGTTTAAATATCTGCTTGAGTTTGCGGCGGCCCAGTTCTGTTTAACCCACAACAGGCTGTTAAACGAAGAAGCAGTGGAGACAATCACCCCCTTATTAATGAGGTTTTATGCAGTAGGTGTTAATCCTTGAAGACTCCGTTTCAGCTCACCTTAGAACAGTGACTGTCTTAACTAGGGGTTCGTGGAGACCCATGTTTATCAGGCCAGTTTGTAAGTGCCAACAACGTATTTTTTAATTGATTTGTTTACTGTGTCAGAGCATCTATACATACCGGAGTATTTTACAGGAATGGAGATGTCAATTTGGCATGTTTAGAAAAGGCTACACTTAAGGTGAGCCATCCAAGGGGTCTTCAGACAGTTCATAGACGTGCATATTATGAAAAAAACAGTATGGACTTCAAAATATGTTGTCCTGAGGTAAACATGTTCTAGTCCTATTTTTCCATGAATCTTTTGAATCCCCCAAATGCTCGTATTTTAATTCAGACTTGGGATGCAGGACCTTATGTGTCAGAGACGCAGGTTCTCCGTGGCAGTGATGAGAGTCTGAGTGTAATGAAATGTGGCCTCCAAAGCAGTGACTTGATCTTTGGAGTCAGTAGAGGTTGCACCGTGGATTCAGTGGTGGAGGGCGTGGAGTCAGCCATGGCACATCTTTGGGTCAGTGATACTCCGTCTGTGGCTTTGAGGGCATGGGACTAGAACATCAGGGGTGCGGCTGGTTGTGAAGACTTGTGTTACCCCTGGAGCCTGTGTTAGCAGTGAGCTTTATGTGAGCAGCAAGCAGAACTCTGCCCATTGGAACTCCCATGGATGGGAGGGGAGCAGTCCAGCAGGGTGGTTCAGCCGAAAGATGTGGGCGGTCCTGTGATACTTCAAGGGGCCCAAGAAGGGATGCTGTGCCCCTTACAATTACTTACAACAGAAGTGGTTGTAAATGTGGAAAACCAGAAAGAATAATGGGAAAATCATTGCAAGCAACTTCAATATTAAAGAAAATAGCCAGTTATGAAATTAACCTACAAAAATCAATATCCTGGATACACATCAATCTAAACCAGTGGAACATATACATTCACTAAGTAAGTCAATAGATGGAAGGAACATGCAGGCACAGATGGACCAACACCAGGATACAGTTTCACTTCACTGAGACTCTTGGCAAAACTGCATAATTTGAATTCAGTCATGGGAGATAACGGGCAAAGTGAAATTGAAGAAATATCGTATAAAATAGCAAGACAGAACTTTTCAGAAGTGTAAAGGTCTTGAGATAAAAACAGTATCCGAGGAATTCTTAGTAAAGAAGTCTGAAAAGGCATAGTAACTAAATGCAAGATTTGACTTCTATTGCATTTAGGGATAGACAGATAAAAAATTAAAAGAGCCCAACCATAAAGCCACGTGGACAAAAAGAAATTGAAAATCAATAATACATTAAGTAAACTTAATGAATCAATGAAATATTTCTTGGCCCTATTTTAAAACATCCTTGTTTTTAGAAGATCCATGAATTCACAGATACAATATCTTCCTCTTTACAATTTGCCTCAAAAATTGAGTAATTAAATGTGCATACAGTTTTTAAAGAGCTAGAAACCTTATGTCATTGAAATTGGAAGTTGCAGTGGCTGGTGCCATGATGTAGTAGGCTATGCCTCTGCCTGTGGTGCTGACATCCCATCTAGGCACAGATTCATGTCCAGGCTACTCCTCTCCCAATCTGGCTCTCTGCTATGGCCTGGGAAACAGTGGAAGATGGCCCAAGTCCTTGGGCCCCTGCACCCACATGGGATACACAGAAGAAACTCCTGGCTCCTGGCTTTGGATCAGCACAGCTTTGGCCATTGCGGCCATTTGGGGAGTAAACTAGTGGATGGACGAGCTTTCTCTCAGTCTCTCAAATAAATAAATAAATTTAAAGAAGAAATTGAAAGTTGCAAAACTATAAACTATAAATATTCTCAAAAGAGGCAAAAATAGACTTGAATGAATGAAAAGGCTTAGACCAAGGCTTTCCAGATTCAGGCTTTCAGATGAACATTCAGAAAGATGTGCTTCAGATAGAAGGAGGGAGGCACTGAAATCACTGCGGGAAGAACATGTTAGCAGCCCAGTAGTCATTTAGTGGCCATCTTGGCTAACTGTGGCAATTGGTTGCAGTGCTTGGGTTCACGTCTACCTTATTTCACTGAATAGTAGCCCCAAATTACAAATTTTATTGCAGTACACTGCTTTAAGTGTTTCATAATTGGTGTTAGTCTCTTACTTTGCCTGTTTCATGAATCAAACTTACTCACAGGTATGTGTGTATAGGAAAAAATATACATGCAGGATTTGGTGCTGCACAGGTTTCAGACATCCAGTGGGAGTCCTCAAACACATTCCCCATGGATAGGAGGGTACTCCTGCGTTATCTGTAAGAGTAAACCACAGAGGACTTTTCTGAGTGTGTGGTTAGGAACTGGTCGGATCATCTAAGATGCATCTACATGGAGTATTATACAACTATACAAAGAAGGAAGAATGTATACACTACCATGGTATCATCTTAGGATATGCTATAAAATTTAAAAAGACAACACGACAAAACTACGTACACTATGCTGCAGTTTGACCTAAGAAAGCAGATGTATTTATTTATGTCTGTGTTTATGGGTGTTTAAATTAAAACGGTGGTGGGAAGATAAGCCATGACATAATAAATAAAAGCTGTGGGGATAAGACAGAATAGATGGGAAAGGAATAGCGGTTTCCATTCCTCACCGTCAACAGCAGTCCAAAACACCAAGTGGAAGGCTGAGTGATTAAATAAATCTTATTTTGTACATGTGGTGTTGGAGGTGAGATTTTTTTTTCTCTCAAAATCCTACTATAAATTGTAGATAATGATAACTTATATATATTTTTTTAAAAAAAGTGGAGTCCTTTAGTATTCTAGGTCAGCAACCACAAGTAACTACAGACTGGTGCACAAAACAGGAATGTATTTTCTCGATTATTTCCTAGAAGGCTGAGTTCAGAGTGCCAGCAGGGCTGGTTTCTTCCAAGGGCTTGTCTGCTTGGCTGGTGGATGCTCTGTCTTCCCATGGTCCTCCCTCCGTGTATCCCTGTCCCAATCTCCTCTTCTAGTAAGGATACTGCTCACTGGATTAAAGCCTATCCTCTGGATTTAATTTTGCCTTAATTACTTCTTCAATGATCCAGTCTTCAAATACAGCTATACACTGTGGGGTTGACTGGGGGTTAGGACTTCAGCGTTTACACTGGGGAAAGGCGAAAGCTGGGGCTGGAGCACAGTGCAGCCAGGAATGCATGGGGTTGGCAGCTCTTGGTGTAACCACCCAGAGAAGGATTCTACGTAACAAGAGCACCCAATAGGCAGAATGTACCTTCCTGGTTGATGCGCCTGACAGGGTGGAAAGGAAATGCATATGAGAGAAGAGCACAAATGGTAATCAGTCTGTTCCTTCCCTGTGGGTATGCCCCAGGGTGGGAAAGGAAGTGCAGGTGACTATCTACCCTGCCTGGCCCTGGGTCTTCTGCAGAAGCTGTAGCACACCCTCACTGAGACTGACTGGTAAGGCCTTTTAACTGTGGGACACAAACATGGATCCCTCTTGGATCCCTAGACATGAAAAGAGGCAGGAAGGCTCCAAGTCCAGCACAGTTCCTGTCTAGACATGGGTAGGGTAGCTGGGCTGGAAAGTGCTCATGCCTCTGTGAATGCCCTGTGTCCCTCAGTGCCCTCCATGGACCCCTCATTCCTGCTGGCCTTGCCTTTGCTCCTGGTCCTAGCAAGACCTTGCGATACCTGTGAATGTAAGCTGCTGCACCCCCAGACAGTCTACTGCATGTCTGATGTTGGTGAGTCCAGGGAGACAACAGGGAAGCCTCTTCCAAGGAGGAGGTCTCACCGGGGGTATAGGAAGGTGGAGGCGGGAGGATCTTCACTCAGTGACCGCGTGGACCCTCTGACCCATTTCTTCATCCTCCCAGTCATCCTTGCCGACATCCTGGGTCCAGCAAAAAATATCGGTACTAGGAGAGGTTTCAAAATCCGGATGAAAAAGGTAAACCCATCGCACCTTCCTTCTCAACCTTGCTCACAACGTAACAGAGTCTGTCCTTGCACAGGTAGGACTCTGGAGCACCAAGACACCTACGAAAACCCTCAACCCTAGCCTTTTCACTCCCTATCACAGTTATTCAAGGCTCCCTCAAATGTTACTGCCTTCGACGTTATCTACACACCCCTCGATTTTTACAGCTGTGGTTATCTGGTGAGAACTTCCTTCCAGTCAGATTTACTGATTGCAGGTGAGCAACCCTGTCCATGCCAGCTGCTACCCCTTGCTGCCCCAGCCCCCACAAAATACCACTCTGCTTCTGCAGCTCTGGGAGCACCAGGGACCCAGGCCCCCTCACCCAGGGTCCCCCGGGTGCCTGTTCCTCCCGAGGGCTATCTGTCCATGCTGTGATGACTTTGTTTGGCACAGGCTATCTGACTAAAGGGAAACTGATCTTCACCAGATGTCATTTGGTGTATCACTGGTATCAGCTCACCACAGAGCAGAGGCTGGGTTTCGACACGGGGTACAGTGTGGGATGCAGCTGCAACGTGAGTGGCCGCCGCAGTATTCTTACACATTCGGTCCCCGCACGCTTTTCCTGCTCATCTCTGCCTTCTGCCAGGCCCCTGTTCCCCTACCTCCTTCTTCTCTGTCCTTCCAGTTCCCCACCCCCATCACTGCTCTATTTGGCTTCTGCCAGCCCCCACCCAGCTTCCTGTTGCCCTGTTATTTCTTGGAAGGGGAGTGCTGCCAGGAGGTGGGAAGGGAGTGCCAACAAGCCCTGTGTCCCCTCGACCCTAGATTGAAACCTGCATCCTCTGCTGGCGCAAATGCCCTGAAGTCGATGTTACAGACTGTGTGTGGAAACAGGACAACTGCAAATACAATATCTGGACGGGAAACCTGTCCCTGTTCTCCATGTGTGTTCCCTCGGTGTCTGGTCAGTGCCAGTGGACCAGAGCTCCACGCCGCAGGCCGACCCCCACTTCTTACTTATCTAGGACTCAGTTAGCGCTCAGTCCCACTACTCCCCAATCGAGAACTCAGTCATAGCTTTTTAACATTCTCGGTCTTGATCTGGGTTATGTTGACCGAAGTAGGTCAGTGTTAGAAACACTCATGGAGTTGTTCACTGAGATATTGCTTACTGTCTGCAAGTAGTGTCTGTATCAACAAAATTAGCTAAATAAATCCTAAGCTGGCAAACCCCGCCCTGGTGACAAATCTCCTTGATCTTTTGAATTCTTTCATCTTTATTTGAAATTTCATTTATTTTTGAGAGAGAGAGAGGTTGTTCACATCTGTTTGTTCACTCCCCAAGTGCCTACAACAGCAGGAACTGAAGCCAGCAGCCAGGCACACAACCTGGGTATTTCATGGCAATTGCAGGGACCCAGTGCCCAGATCTGACACCCGTCCCTTCCCAGTGCCTGCACTGATGGGAACTTGGAGTCGGGAGTCATGGCTGGAAATCAAAACCAGGCATTCCACTGCAGGACGTGGGATCTCAGCCGTTAGGCGACATGCCTGCTTCCATCATTTTCCCTTTGAATCTTTCATTCATTCTGTAATGACCGCCTGACATAAATCCCTCTTGTTCCAAAGTTCCTCTCTTCTCTTCACCCTACCAAAAGCAAAAGCTCTGGTACCAGACAAGAGGGTAATCCAGAGAAAGGGTTGGTGCTTTTAGGCCTTCGCAGTAGATGGAGCTAGGAGACACATGTCTGTACACCAGTCCTTTTATTTAGTCATACATCTTTCTGTGTCTCTCTCAATATATATCTTAGAGTAAACCTGACCTGATCCTGATAGGTTCAACTCTATTCAAGTAACTTAAGATTCATTTTAGCCCTTAAATCTTGATTATTTGTACTTTTTTTTCTGACAACTAGAAATCTGACTCTGATTTTATATCATTTATTTACTTATTTGCTCAAGGCTAGCATACATAGTTTGAGAATTGTCAACTTATGCACCTGTGCAAAATAAATTTATGACTAAAGGACTAGGTTTATAGACAGTTTTTACACAAATCCCCCAGGCTCCCTCAAACTCAAACGCACATGATCTCTCCCCTCTGGCCCCAAAGGTGCCCAGAACCACCTGGTTCTAGTCCAGAAGGAGGCTTTGCAGGAGAGATGGTGCTCCTGGCAGAGACGCAGAAACCTGAGCAGGTGTAGGTCCAGCGCTAGGTGTTACACATCTCTGTCACCACCCTATATACCCACATGTACCATTTCAACCTTCCAATGAGTAGCTCTCCCATTGAAAACTCTCAGAATAAGAGTCTCCCAAAGAATGGAAAATCCATGTGGGCTAAGCTGTGGCTTGTAGTCAGGGAGGAGACTGCATAACCTGCACCAGTTATCATTGGTCTCCTTGTCCTTGGAGTTCAACTGTCAAACTCAGAAGCAGAGGAGAATTCTAGAGAAAGAACACGCGTGCAATAGGTGGCACACCTGGTACCAGAAGGTTTCCTATGGCTGCAACGTGGACACTAGGCTCAAAAGCCAATAGAGTGACATTCCCCACTTAAAGATGTAAAAGACCCTGAACACTTGAGAAGAAAGGTCATGGGGTCACCTTTATGGCTCATTAATAAATCTTACAGTGATCATTGCTCCATTTCAAATACTTCAGACAGCAAGACAAACAACTCACCTTGACGAAGTGGGAAGAACAGACACAGAACTCAATCAACTGAAAGTATTTTCTACCCTTCCTCAAATATTATTTCAGATGCTTTGGAAATAAAATATACTTCACCAAATGTCATTTTCATTTTAATTGTTTACACTGGAAAAGGAGGAAACAAGTAAGATTATCAGATTTCTCTGGGAAATCTTCCTGAAATAACACATATTATGGAAGTGAAAAGCAATATAAATCATCTTCACAAGAAAAAAAGTGTCGGGATATTGGATGGTATGATTTGCAGGATGTGAACTAGAGATGTTTTATGAAATGTCAGAAATTCATAAAATTTCAGAATTTAAAAAAAATTGATTTCCCCTTCCCAATGATGAAACCAATATATGCTTAATTATAGAAATTTTAAAAACACAGAATTATATAAAAATAAGACAATCTTGGGGCCAGCACTGTGGTGTAGTGCCAAAATCTCATATGGGTACCAATTCATATCCTGGCTGCTCCACATCCAAACCAGCTCCCTGCTAATGTACCTGGGAAAGCAATGGTAGATGCACCAAGTGCTTGGACCCCTGCACCCGTGTGGGAAACTCAGAAGGAGCTCCTGGCTCCTGACTTTGGATCAGCCCAGCTCCAGTCGTCGTGTCGATCTGGGGAGTGATCCAGTGGATGGAAGATCTTGCTCTCTGTTTCTCTCTCTCTGCCTCTCTCTAACTCTGCCCTTCAGATAAACAAATAAATCTTTAAAAAGAAAAATTTATTTGTTTATCTGAAGGGCAGAGTTAGAGAGAGAAAGGTCTTCCATCTGCTGGTTCACTCCCCAAATGGCTGCAACAGCCAGAGCTGGGCTGATCCAGTACAGGAGCCTGGAGCTTCTTCCAAGTCTCCCATGAGGGTTCAGACCCTAAGTACTGAGTCCACAATCACCATCACATTCTTGAAATAGAAGAAAAACAGAGAAATGGAGAAGACCTCACTAGTTCTTAGGGATGAGAGGAAAGGGAGGACGTGGAAGGAGGGGAGGCAGTGTGTGTGGCAGTAAATGGGCAGTAGGAGACATGCTGTGGCGCTGGGATTATATTATGTGATAGTTACGCCACTGATTGTGTTCTAAGATGCTGCAGTTGGGATCAACTGGGTAAAAGATATGCAGGATCTGACTGCATGATTTTTAAAAAAGATTTATTTATTTATTTATTTATTTGAAAGGCAGGGTTACAGAGAAGGAGAGACAGAGAGAGAGAAAAGTTCTGTCTGCTGGTTCACTCCCTGAACTGATTGATGTGATGGCCAGGATTGGGCCTGGTGGAGGTTGACAGGTGCCTAAGCCTATGGGCCATCTTCTGCTGCTTTCTCAGGCACATTAGCAAGGAGCTGGTTTGGAAGTGGAACAGTCAGGTTGTGAACTGGAGTTCATATGGGATGCTGGCATGTTGCATGTTGCATGTGCCTTAATCCACTGTGCCACAACAGTAGCCCCCTCACTGCAATATTTCTCCGAATGGCAGTTGAATCTACAGTGATCTCGAAATAAAAATATAATTAAAAAAACAAAAGAGTAACCAGAGATTGATTTAATGTAACAGTATAATTTAATCAAATTAACTTTTCTAAGTAAAAAAAAAGCTAGAGCCATAATTTTACATATTGTGTGACTGCATTTCATATAGCATTATAGAGTGGGAAATCCTATAGGCTTTCCTGTAAGGAGAGAAAACAGATCAATGATTGCCAGGACTTATGGGAGGTGGGAGGAAGTGACAGCAAGGGGGCTGTGCAGGGGAATTTTTAAGGGGATGAAACTGTTCTGTATGATTCTGATAGAGACACGACTCTGTGCACCTGCCTAAACTGTGAAACGCACACACAGCACTTTGAGTGGAACTTCCAATACAAACCGGGAAGTAGATAAGACTTGGTAGATAGATAGGCGCCTTGGGATAACAGGCTGGAATCAGTACAGTCTGTAGCTGAACAATCTGCCTTTTGTACAAATACCTGATGTAACCACTTTAAAGGGAGAGAATAAAATAAAACTAACTTTCAGAGACATGGTACTTTCACTGGGTATTATGAAGTTGAAGACAAAAAACACTACAAAACTCTAGTGATGAATTGTTTCTTTCAGGAGTAGAGGTTAGCAATTCTAAACTACTTTACAGGGGCTTTTGTTGTTGTTGTTGTTGTTTTGCTGGCAAGAATAATGTCCACATCCCAATGTCTGGGAAAAGCTGTGACTATGTTACCTTCTGTGCAACAAGATCTATGAAGATGTGGGGAAGAAAAGGATTTGGGATGGGCAGGCAGATTATGCATGATTATGCATGATTATCTAGGTGGGCTCAATGTAATCACAAGTGTGACTAGAAGTAAAAGAGAAAGGCCAGAGACACAGGCACACACATGCACACACACACATGTGCACACACACGGGGGGGAGGTAAGGGAGAGCTAGAGAGGGAGAGAGATGGTGTCAGGAGCAGCAGAGGTCAGGGTGAGCTGAGGGCTGGTGCTTTGGAAACAGAGATGGGTGCCGTGATTGAAAGGGTGCAGGCAGCTTCCAGGAGCCTCAAAAGGCAAAGAAATGGATTCTCGCCTGCAGCCTCCAGGAAGGAACACAGCCTTCTTCAAACTGTCTTGTGACACACAGAGACCCCTGTTTAGATTCTTGACCTCCCAAACTATAAACTAATAAATTTGTGTCATTTAAGCTACAAATTTGGGGTAATTTATGATAATATAAATAGAAAACTGATATGGGTTTTTATTAACAGAAAGTGAGTCTCTGCTGTAGCAAATACTGCAAAATACAGGTGTGACTTTACATTAAGCAGTGATGACCGATGAAAAATGCTAAGAAGTGCTACAGAAAATGTTCTGACAGACTGGAAAAGAGTGTGAATTAGAAATGTGGATGCCATTCCCTTGGCTAGAGAGAACTCAGAAGGAAGTGAAGATGATGGTGGAGAAAACATCGATTGAGAAAATACTGAAATCATCAACAAAGATTGTTAAGTAAATAAAGGAGTGTTAAAGACCTTGCTGGTGAGAACTCAGAAGAAAATGAGGAATATGCTATTAGAAACAGTAAGAAGAGAGATGCTTATTATTAAGCTTCATTGTGTTCTACAGTTATATAGAAAGCACACTTACAAGCAGTGCACTTGGATATTTTTCTCATATTTCCAAGCAAGATGATAGAGGTACAGCCTGGTATCTTTGGCTACTTACAGGAAACTGCAAGAGTACATGATAGACTGAAGGAAGAAATGTTAAAAATAAAAGGAGCCAGATGTAATTACACAGGAAATTCTAAGTCTTTCAAGTTTGCAAAACATGCTAAAATTAGTCCATTCACAGTCAGGAAAGTAGACTTGAAGAGAAAGCCAAGAAAGCTCCAAGACCTTCTTTCGCTAGGGCCTCAGCAGGATAACAGGTTGGAAGATTCTTTGAAGAGACCGGGCGTGTGACCCATGGACCCATTCAGTCACATCACCAGAAGCCAGAAAAAACAGATGGAGACACACAGGAAAAATATTTCAGAGAGCCTCTGCCCAGTGGAATGAAATCTGATATACGCAGCCAACTCACAAAGTTATTGAGACTTTTATTCCAGTAACAACAGGAAATTAATGTACTGCATTTGAGGAAATAAGTAACTACAGTTTGGGTGGCAGGAGACAGATCTCCTACTGTCAGAGGGTTGCATTATAAAAAAAAGAAAACAGAGAGGAAGGCTAGACTAAGTCCTATTTTGCTGAATCAGCCAGTGATATCAATACAAAATTGTATTTATAGA